TCTTCAAAATAGACCACATCATAGTTCATGCAAGGAACTTAAGCAAATACAAAGGGATTGACATAATCCCCTGTATCCTATTCGACCACAGTGGAATCAAACTAGTTCTCAATAACAAAACATACTTCAGAAATTACTCACATACATGGAAATTGAACAGCACACTTCTAAGCAACACCTGGGTAACAGAAGAAAATAAATAATAAATTAAAAAGTTCCCACAATTCAATGAAAATGAATATACATCACAAAGAAACTTGTGGGACTCAGCAAAAGCCATCCTGAGGGGCAAATTTATTGCTCTCAGTGCCCACATCATGAAAATAGAGACAGACCAAGTAAATAATCTCATGTTGCAATTAAAATAGCTAGAAAAACATGAAAAAATGGAACCTAAAGTTACTAAGGAGCCAGATAATCAAATTCAGAGTGGAAATTAATGAGATAGAGAATGCGAAAATTATAAATAAAATGAATAAAACAAAAATCTGGTTCTTTGAAAAATAAATAAAATTGATGGACCTTTGAAAAGAAGAGAGGAAACCCAAATTAACAAGATCAGGGATGCCACGGGAAAAATCACAACAAATCCCCAAGACATCCAAACATTTATAAAGAACTATTTTCAAAAAAGAAAAGAACTATTTTCAAAAGTTATACTCTCTAAAGAAAGAAAATCTAGCAGAAATTGATGCATTTTTAGAGACATACAAGTTGCCCAAACTGAGCAAAGAAGAAGTAAATCAATTAAATAAGCCATTATCTTACGATGAGATACAGGAAGCAATCAGAAGTCTTCCAACAAGAAAAAGCCCAAGACCAGATGGATTCACAACAGAATTCTATAAGACCTTTAAAGAACTAATACCCATACTCCTCAAGCTCTTCAGAGAAGTAGAAAAAGGGAGCTATCCCAAACTCATTCTAAGATGCCAATATCACACTCATCCCCAAAACAGGCAAAGACCCAACCAAAAAAAGAACTACAGACCAATCTCCTTGATGAACACAGATGCAAAGATCCTTAACAAAATTCTAGCTCACAGAATCCAGAAACACATAAACAAAATCATACACTATGACCAGGTAGGCTTCATCCCAGAGATGCAAGGATGGTTTAACATACATTAAATGTAATAAATGTAATCCAACACACCAACAGATCCAAGGTCAAGAACCACATGATTATCTCCATTGATGCAGAAAAGGCTTTGGATAAGATACAACATTCATTCATGTTAAAAAGCTCTGGAGAAAATAGGAATAGAAGGAACATTCCTTAAAACAATAAAAGCCATATACAACAGACCAATAGCCAATATTATACTTAATGGGGAAAAACTACAACCAATTCTCTTAAAATCAGGACCAAGGCAAGGATGCCCACTGTCTCCACTCCTCTTCAATATAGTCCTGGAACCCTTAGCCAGGGCAATAAGGCAAGAAAAAGACATGAAAGGGATCCACATAGGGAAGGAAAAAGTTAAACTATCCCTTTTTGCTGATGACATGATACTATACCTTCATGATCCCAAAAACTCCATCCCCAATCTCTTAGAAATTTATAAACCACTTAGGCAAAGTAGCAGGATACAAAATCAACCCAGAAAAAATCAGTCACCTTCCTGTACACTGACAATGTACAAGCAAAGAGGGAAATAAATGAAGCAACCCCATTCACAATAACCCAAAAGAAATAAAAATATTTAGGAATTAACCTAACCAAAGATGTAAAAGAACTTTTTAATGAAAACTATAAAAACTTAAAGAAAGAAATTACAGAGGACACCAGAAAATGGAAAGACCTCCCATGCTCTTAATATAGTGAAAATGGCATACTGCCAAAATTAATATACAAATTCAATGCAATTCCTATTAAAATCCCAATGATGTACATTTCTGAAATACATAAAACAGTCCAAATATTCATATGGAACAACAAAAGACCTAGAATAGACAATTCTAGGCAAAAAAGACAACATGGGAGGGATCTCGATGCCGGACTTCAAATTCTACTACAAAAAGCCATACTAACAAAGACAGCATGGTACTAGCACAAAAACAGATCCGAAGACCAATGGAATAGAATAGAAGATTCAGAAATAAAACCACATGCCTACAGTCAGCTGATATTTGACAAAGGAGCCAAAGACGTACAGTGGAAGAAACACAGGTTCTTCAACTACTGGTGCTGGGAAAACTAGGCAGCCACATGCAGAAAATTAAAAGTGGACCCCAGCCTATCACCATGCAGCAACATCAACTCAAAATGGATTAAAGACCTTAACATTAAACCTGAATCTCTGAAACTACTGCAGGACAGAATAGGAGAGACACTTGAACTTATAGGCACAGGCAGGAACTTCCTGAACAGAGTCCCAGGGTCACAACAAATTGGAAAGAGACTTGACAAATGGGACTACCTTAAAATAAAAAGTTTCTGCACAGCTAAAGTTATAGCAACCAATCTAGAAAGACAACCAACTAACGGAAAAAAAATATTTACCAGCAATATATCAGACAAGGGGTTAATGTCCAGTATATACAAGGGAACTCAAGAAACTAATCCCTCCCAAGTCCTACAAACCAATTACTAAATGGGCAAGGGAACTACAGAGAGACTTCTCAGAAGAAGAGATAAAAATGGCAAAAAAAAAAAAAACATGAGGAAATGTTCACCATCCCTGGTTATGAAGGAAATGCAAATAAAGACAAACCTGGGACTGGGGGTTTAGCCCGGTGGAAAGGCACCCGCCCAGCGTGCACAAGGCCCTGGGTTCGGTCCTCAGCCCTGGAAAAAAAAGAAAAAAAATAAAATAAAATAAAGACAAACCTGAGATACCACCTTACCCCAGTAAGAATAGCCCACATCCTAAAGTCAGACAATGACAAATGCTGGAATGTGGAGAAAGAGGAACCCTATTACACTGCTGGTGGGAATGTACACTTACACAACCACTTTGGAAAGCAGCAAGGAGGGTCCTCAGAAAGCTAAATATTGACCTCCCCTATGACCCAGCCATACCTCTTCTAGGCATCTATCCTGAAAAGGAACCTCACGCACCTCCATGTTTATTGCAGCACTGTTCACAATAGCCAGGATATGGAAACAACCCAGATGTCCCACCACAGATGAATGGATCCAAAAATTGTGGTATCTATACACAATGGAATATTATGCAGCCATTAGAAAGGACAAAATAATGACATTTGCAGGGAAATGGATGGAGCTAGAAGAAATTATGTTGAGCGAGGTAAGCCAAGAGCAAAGAGACAAATGTCACATGGCCTCCCTGAAAAGTTGATGTTAAATCCAAACCTTAAGGTGATATGACAAAATTAACAAGGCTTAAGAAACAAAGGACTTCCACTCATCTGGTCCAATCACTACTAAATAACTCCATGCTGCTGATCACATATATGCTATATAGGTGCACACCGGAGAGAAACCAGGAAGAGGACACAGAACTAAAGGGAATCAGAGAAAAACATACAACAGCAGGATCCATCAGCTGGACTGGACATTGATCAAAATGAACTAAGCAACTCAATGGCAGCGATGGGAGGGAGGGAACAAGCGGGAAAGAGGGGACACCCTATGATATGCAAAACAAAAGAAATGTCCATATCGCCAAATGTGGAAGAAATAACTGTATTGTCAAAGCTCATAGAACTCATAAATGTTATAGACCACGATAGACAAATTGCCCCATGACACTGTGGCTCAAGTGGTAGAGCGCTAGTTTTGAACTGAAGACCTGAGGGACAGCACCCAGGCCCAGAGTTCAGGCCCCACGACGAGACCAAAAGAAAAAACAAAACAAAACAAAACAAATTGCCCCATGAAAGTTAGAATGTGTTTGTGACTTTAACTAAGCATCACTATCCCACAATACTGTGAAATCTGGGAAATTATTAAATCACAATAAAGAATTTGAAGAAAATCAGTTGAGGCTTTCCATGTAGAAAGTGGGGTCAGGAGACCAGAAAAGGGATATGAATAGATGTTCAAGTCACTCAGGAACTTGTACATAGGTGCAAGAAAAGTTATGTCAAAGTGGCCACAAGATTGTTTAATAGGAGACGGACGAATGTAACTCCATGTTTACTGCTAGAAACCAAAACTTTTTGAGAAATCTTGAATTTATAGGTAGGGAGGGTGGGAAAGTTTGTACCTATCTGTCCTTTCTCTGATCCCTGCAGACTAAAGCTTCCTTGGACTTTGATGATCCTAGTCCTGAGGTGTTTTATTTCATGATTGATTCTTGCTGTACCCGAGTACTTCCTTTCCCCTTTTCTAATCATTTTTAATAAGTTTTTTATTGTGAAAATACCATACAGAGGGGTTACAATTACATGAGCAAGGTAATGAGTACATTTCTTATCAAGCATTGCTGCCTCCTCCTTTGTTTTTCCCTTACCATCCCTGCCTTCCCATCTCATGACTACACTCACCCCCTAATCATTTTTTTGTAACACATGCTGACTCTTCCCTTCCCTTTCTTTCCTGGGAAAATACAATGAATAAATAAATAAATAAAAACTTATTGGTTAAAAAGGCAAATGTGTGAAAGGTAATATATAACTAATTGAATTCAGTATACTCTAATGAACATATTACAATATGGAAGTATGTTGAAAGGAAAATATTCGTGGATAGCTAATAAATACGATATAAAGAAGGATGTATTTTGTTGAAATGTTTTGAAAGTAATTGAGAAATCAAGAGTAAGACAGGAAAACAGGGGTAATATACTAATTGGGAATGGTAATGTTAATGATTGGAGGAATGATAGATAGATAGATAGATAGATAGATAGATAGATAGATAGATAGATAGATAGATAGATAAATAGATAATAAAATTTACATTATGGTAGTGATGGTTACAAGTTGACAAATGAGTAAGGGCCATTTACTCATTGCAGTAATTCCCATAGTATGAACTTATAGCTTACTGGAAAATGGTGTCAATTTAATTCAGACCTTCTATACATTGATCAAACACACAGGGTAATCTTGAATCTTATTTTTCCATCTATTTGTTTATCCCTGAAGCCATGCAGAGAATTTCTATCTGATTTTAACAAGATAATGTAGCACTTGGGGGCAAAAATGCAGCCCAGGAGGCCTGCACTGGAGGCCAAGATGGAGAAGATCTCCACAGCCACCATGAGCTTCCCCTTGGTGCTGTGGTAGACAAGCAGGAAGGTGATCCAGACACTGCAGAACACCAACATGCTGAAGGTCAGGAACTTGGCTTCATTGAAGGTGTCAGGCAGGTTCCGGGCCAGAAAAGCTACAGTGAAGCTGGCCAGGGCCAGGGCGCCCAGGTATCCCAGGACACAGTAGAAGGCAGTGAGGGAGCCTGTGTTGCACAGGATGATGATGTGACCATGTTCAGAGTCTGCATCTGTGTCCACAAAGGGAGGAGAGGTTCCCAGCCAGACTCCACAGAGAGTCATTTGAATGAGGATGCAGATGGGGATGATGAAGTTAGGAGCCCCTGATACCAGCAGCCACCTCATCCTTCTCCCTGGAGAAGTGGCCTTGAAGGCCAGAACCACAGTCACTGTTTTGGCCAAGACAGTAGAAACAGCCACAGTGAACACAACTCCAAAAGTAACCTGCTGTAGGATGCAGGTGATGGTGTTAGGACGACCAATAAAAAGCAAGGAACAGAGGAAACAGAAGATGAGGGAGGTGAGCAGAATGTAGCTGAGAGCCCGGTTATTGGCCTTGACAATGGGAGTGTCTTGGTACTTCACAAAAACCCCAAGTACAGCAGCAGTGAGTGTGGAGAAGCAGAGAGCCATGCAGGCAAGGGCCATGCCCAAGGGTTCTCCATGGGCCAGGAACCTTTCAGCCCTCAAGAGGCACTGGTTTCTCTCTGAACTGGCATAGAGATGATCTGGACATTTCACACACTGCTCCATATCTGGCGAGGAAGATAAATAACCATTAGTCCCCTTTCAATAATGCACTTTCTTTAATGGAAATTAAACATTCTGCTTAAAGATAAAACTAACATGTCAGAAAAATATTTACCAGCAATATGTCAGACAAGGGTCTAATATCCATTATGTACAGGGAACCCAAGAAATTAATTCCTCCCAAACCTAACAAACCAATTACTAAATGGGCAAGGGAACTAAAGGGAGACTTCGCAAAAGAAGAGATTAAAATGGCAAAGAAATACATGAGGAAATGTTCATCATTCCTGGCTGTAAAGGAAATGCAAATAAAGATAACCCTGAGATACCACCCTAACCCAGTCAGAATGGCCCACATCCTAAATTCATCTGGAGGTAATGTGGAGAAAGAGGAACCCTATTGCACTGCTGGTGGGGATGTACACTAATACAACCACTTTGTAAAGCAGTCTGGAGGTACCTCAGAAAGCTAAACATAGATCATCCCCTATGACCCAGCCATACCACTCCTCAGAATCCACCCTGAGCAACAGGAACCAGGATACCTACACCTCCATGTTCATTGTAGCACTGTTCACAATAGCCAGGATATGGAAACAACCCAGATGCCCCACTATAGATGAATGGATCGAAAAATTGTGGTACCTATATACAATGGAATATTATGCAGCCATTCAAAAGGACAAAATAATGGCATTCAAAGGGAAATGGATGGAACTAGAACAAATCATTTTGAGTGAGGTAAGCCAAGAGTAGAAAGACAAGTGGCACATAATATCCCTGATATGTGGATGTTACATACAAAATGTAAGGAGATACAACAAAGTAAACAGGACTTGAGGGCTGGAAAGGTAGCTCAGTGGTAAAGTGCATGCCTTTCATGAATGAGGTGCTGAGCTCAATTCCTCAGCACCACATAAGCAGAAAAAGCCAGAAGTGGCACTATGGCTCAAGTAGTAAAACTCTAGCCTTGAGCTGAAGATCTGAGGGACAGTTCCCAGGCTCAGAGTTAAGGCCCAACAACCAACCAAAAAAAAAAAAAACAGGACTCGAGAAACGAAGGACCTCCACTCATCTTGTCATATCATTATTAAATGACCCCATGCTGTTGACCACATATATAGTATATTTGCACACATCTGAGGGAAACTAGAAAGAGGTCACAGAATCAGAGGGAAACGGGAAAGCATACAACAGAGGGGCTCCTCAGCTGCACTGGACATTGATGAAAACGAACTAAACAACTCAAGGGGAACAAAGGAAAGGAGGGAATGAGAGAGATAGGGGGTACAGCTAACCCTGAGCTAAAGGAAAGAAGTGTACATACCATCCAATGTGGAAGAAATAGCTGTATTGTCAAAGCTCACAGAATTCACAAACTTTATAGACCACGATAATGACAATTTGCCTCATGAAGGTTAAAATGTATTTGTAACTTTAAGTATCACTATCTCACAATACTGTAAAATTTGTGACATTTATGTAATCACTTAATCACATTAAAAATTATTTTAAAAACTTAACAGGTCAGTATTTGTGATCATAAAAGTATTACCAAATAGTATACGAACTTTTTTTACTCTTTTCTAAACCATAACTTCAACCTCACTCCCACATTGGTTCTTTTTAATATGCATTTTATTGTAAAGATACTGTACAGAGGGATTACGGTTACATGAGTAAGATAATGAGTACATTTCTTATAGAGCATTGTTACCCCCTCCTTTGTTTTAACCCTACCATCACTTCTCTACCCACCTCCCTAACTCCTCCCTCCCCCCAAGTTGTAAAGTTCATTTTCAACATAGTGTCTTGTACATCTCATTGTTACAATGGGTCAACCTGTATCCTTATTTCAGCATTTTGTTGTGTCCCTTCCCCTCCCAAATTAAAAATGTAATATACAAGACGCAGGGCACCAGAATCAAATACAGTGAAAACAGGGGTTATACCATGAGAGAATAACATGCAAAAGAAACAAAAAAAATCACATAGTACATTTTAAATACATTTAAAGAAACAATAGTAATTTTTAAAAAGCCTCTTGTGTCCCTATCTTGAGGTTCATTTCACTTAGCTTCATCTTATATGATCATATGTGCATAGCATAGCTTTTGACCTTTTCTGCTTGTCTGGTAATATTATCCTAGAAGTGTACTAGTTATTGCAGATAAGGGAAACCATGGGACCTATGTTTCTTAGGGTCTGGCTTATTTCACTTAACATGATTTTTTCCAAGTCTCCATTTCCTAACAAATGGGGTGGTGTCATTCTTCCTGATGGAGGCATAGGATTCCAGTATACACACACACATACATAAATATACACACACACACACACACACACACACACACACACACACACACACACACATATCACATTTTCTTGATCCATTAATCTACTACAGGGCATCTAGGTTGCTTCCATATCTTAGCTGATGAATAATGCTGAGATAAACATAGTTGTGCTGATAGTTTTAGTATGGCCTTGTTTGTGATCATTTGAGTAAATGCCCAAAAGTGGAATTGCTGGGTCATAGGAGAGCTCTATGTGGAGTCTTTTGAGGAATCTCCATACTGTTTTTCAAAGTGCTTGAACAAGTTTACACTCCCACCAACAGTGCAGTAGGGTTCCCTTTTGGCCACATCCCCTCCAGCATCTGTTGTTATTAGATTTCTTGATTATAGCCATTCTAACTGAAGTGAGGTGGACTCTCAATGTTGTTTTGGCTTGCATTTGTTTTTTTATTAAATATATATTTGTCTTGTAAAGATACTATACAGAGTGCTGACAGTTACGTGAGTAAGATAATGAATACATTTCCTATCGAACATTGTTTCCGCCTCCTGATTTGTATTTCTTTTGTGTTTTTTTGAAAAATCAGATTCAATCTTTACCTTCATTGACTATCAACATATTGATAATATGCCATTTTGTCAATTTTAATATTCTAAAAATTCTTTTCTACATTATTTTAAGCTGCTATAATATTAATTCTTATCACTCTGCACAACTTCCTTAGTCCCATTTAAAATTGTGGATAATATGACTAACATGTATGTATACATGAGATGTTAATAAAGCCCTGTGGCATGTCCTTGAATTCATGACATTGTATTTGTCTCTACTCTTCACCTGTGAAGCAGTGGGGAACAGAGAATCAAACCACACTTTGAAGCTCTAACATCATCCTATGCGCAACACTTGTCTGTTTCTTAAACCAAACTGAGCTTCTAAGCACTTGCTCTGTGGCAAGAGCACTGTGTACATGATCCATGTTTTCCTTGTTTTGTAACGGCAATCTGGAAAAACATGGAGAGCCTGTCCTTAATATGACTTTATATTAATATTAGAAGTTAAACTTTCATTAATGAGTATCAAGTGAGTTTTCTTAAGATTCCCATACATATACTGGGCTAGAGAAAAAATAATGCTAGATGTAATTCAAATGGATGATTTGTGTAATTTCAAGGAGCAATACAATCAACTTAGTAACTGAAGGAAGGGAAGCTTTGGCTCTGAAATCTTGATTTCTATTGGATAAATCAGAGAACATTAGGGAGAATTTCTACTTAAGTCATGGACTTACCTGTCCCATTAGAAATCTGATCCTGTAGGCAAGGGATGCAATCAAAGCAACAGGCAGCCTTTTCCTCCTGAGGGGATTTCCTGAATCCAGGACCACAACTCTCACTGCAAACTGAGTGAGGAGTCTGAGGAAAATCAGATATATGTTGATAACTGTTCAGACTTTTACCTACCACACTAAATAGTTAAGTGTTCTTACTATTAAACATGATTTCTATATGCTTAAAGCTAATCCATTGACTGGATACTGTTAGAGATTCCATACAGCATGATCCCCAAAGGCATATGTGCTATAGTCTAGATCTGTAGTCCAGTATACTATTGGAAAGTGTTGAACCTTTAAGAGGTAAACCCTAATTCTAAAGTAGTCATTGATGGCCAACCTTAAGGAACCTCTTAAATTTATGTTTGTGTGTGCATGCGTGTGTGTGTGTGTGTGTGTGTGTGTGTGTGTGTGTGTGTGTGTGTGTTGATTCTGGAGTTGGAACTCTGGGCACTTTCCCTGAGCTATTTTGTTCAGAAAAAATTGGGGCCACAGCTCCATTTCCAGCTTTTTGAGGCTAATTGGAGACAAGAGTCTCACAGATTTTCCAGCCCAGGCTGACTTCCACTCCCAAAGCTCAGATCTCAGCCTCCTGAGCAGCTAGGAATACAGGTATCAGCCACAGGAACCTGGCAAATTCATAATTGTTTGTCTCCTACTGATTGCTGAAATCTGAAAACAAGAAGGAAAACCCTTACTGAGGCTATCAAAGCATTCCCTAAAACACAGACATCCCTTATATTAGGTTATGTGAACTCCAGGCTCATCATCTCTTCCTCTGTGATGTCTAGTAGTAAGGAAGTAAAAATCTCTTCTTCCGGTATAGTCTTGTTAGATAATTCCTGTCACCCTTGCTGCATAAATTACAGGTCAAGTTAGCCTAGACCGAAAAAATCTCAGTGGAGCAAAATGAACCTTTCTACCTTATTAATTGATTCCTCAGGTGTTTTGTCACAGTATTAGAAAATTGTTATGTCATTTAGGTTTTCTGACAATAAATAAACTAGCACTTACACATATAGAATTAGTATGTTCCTTTTCATCAAAGAATTGGAAAATAAGTAAGTTATTCAAACTGAAAGTTATTAAATTTACAATGTTATATAATTAATAAGATCAGGTGGACCTGAAATCTAGGGATTATTTTGTTTCTATGCAGTACTCCTCATTGTGATCAGGTCTAACTCACCTCAGTAGTTCCTATGGTCCACTCTATCATATCTTCAGATATTGACAGTTGATGACCATGTGGAACATATGGAGAAAATAGTCCGACTTTCACCTTAATTTCAAGACCTTCTGGAAAATTCCAGATGTTCACAATGTCATACTCTGCTTCTAATTTCTCTTTCTCACCCAAAATCACTAGGTCTCCAGCAGGATTATGAAATTGGGTCTTCTTCAGAAAAGGGTGCAGCTAAACGAGATACATCTTATGGTGAAGTTAATCCAAGAGTTAAGAGAGAAAGCCTAAATTCTGCATTGCCCCTCATTGTCTTTAGTACCTGCATTATCCTTCTAGATTAAGACATACACCACATGCAGTAGAACAAAACAAAGGTCTATAGAGGACTGAAATAATGTTTCTGAATGCTACTCACTCAAGGAAAGGATCACAAGGCCTCTTTTCAAGACAAACCACCTCCACATAAATAGTCATGAATGAGACAGTTCTGAGTTTCATAGTTACAGGTTAGCAGAACTGCTCATTTGTGAATATCCAGGGAGTTGCAGTTGGCTAAATTAATAGTATCTAAAGTGGAATTAAACAAGCTCATTTGTTTTATATATATATATATATATATATATATATATATATGTATGTATGTATATATGTATATATATATGTTTATTAGTATTTTACACATGTAAGTGGTACATTGATTTTTTAATTTTTCTTATTATCTTTAAGTGTTATACAAAAGGGTTTCAATTCAATGAGTTAGTTTATGAATACAATACATCTTGATCAGTGTCACCTATTACATTATTCTCCCCCATCTTTCCTGCCCCACTTATCCCTCCAGCTACTTTCTGAAATCATCATCATTTAAGTACTTAATTACATAAAGAGCTGATAATCCTTTGCTATATAAGAAACTCATAGTAAAAGCTATAAGTTTGAAAACATTAGCTATGAGCTTACTGAGGTCATTTGTAACATGAAATGCATTTCCTCCTTTCAGGTGTGAAGAAACTTCAGAAACATTTAAACAAAGTTTCTCTTGGGATTTGTAAAAGCTTCAACATATTTAGGTTCACCTCATTTTTGTTGTGTCAGATCTAACAAAGACGACCTTACCTGTGCAGGGGAAGGAACCATCTCTTTCCCATTTCCTTCTGTTTGGTGAAGAAGCATCTTGTGAAGAGCATGGGCCACAGCATACACAGCATTGTATATATTATAACTCTCTTCAGACATGGCCATTTCAAAAATGTGTCCAGGCAACCATTCCAAGGAGGCATCCTGGGGACAGTTCTCCCATGTTATACAGTCAGATTCAGAATATGAACAATTAAAAGAGAGAAACCACAGCCGAGCAAGGTAAAAGTCTTCTGGATATTTGGAAGGATTAATTTCCCTGACATAATTCTTAAACCCAGAAATGTCTGGATGGTGATGTGAAAACATGAGAGGAACATGGAATGAGCCTAACATGAAATACCTTCTACTCATGGATAAATCACTCTGTGAAGTCATAAGCCAAACTTTGCTTGACATTAAAAACTGCCCAAAATACAGCCTTAAGTTTAGAAGGTATTCATTATCACCATAAATGATAAATATATTTGCTGATGAGTTATTAATCTCACGATGGATTATCAGGCTGCTAAATATCTGTGTGAGGATAGTGCTTGGAATCACATGCTCAAAGGCTACACAGACTCTGTTCTTGGCCATCTCTTCCCTCAATTCTGGAATTATCCACAAACCACTTTCATCTAGTGAGATCACCAACCCCACCCAGTTCCAGTTGAAATGAACCATCAAGGAGACCATGGCAATGGCTAGTGATTTGTCCTGTGGGGCCATCTGATACAGAGAAGGAAACTTGCTTTTGTCACTCAGGACAGTATCTAAAGGTCCACAGGTAAGCTAAAGGGAAAGAAAATTGAAGAGTCTGTGAAAGGATTGCCATCCTTCACAATCTCAGTCGACTTATAGTAAGAAAGAATTGAATGAGTGAAAGGAAGGAGATCTTTTCTAGTTTTAGAAAATAAATTTTAAATTGTTTTTAAATAGCTATACAAAGATCTTTCATCTGTGCATGTCAGTTTCTGTGTGCAATGCCTGTTGATCAGTGTAACTGTTTCCATTGTTCCCCATCTATACCAATCCCACTCATTTTTACATATATACTTGAATATTATAACTGTATTTGCCATCACTCCTCTCTATTCCTTTGTTCCCCACACCATTCGCTTTACACTTACCTCTATTATCGGTGTGACATGTTTCAACTTTCTCTGCTCATTTTTCAGAACAATTACACCATGGAAATCCTCCATTTTGTACACCATTCTTCAGTCAGTTTTATCATTTATATTTGCTTATGGCATGTATGCATTTTCATGTTTATTTCACATTTCAGGTTTATATTTTAAACTTCCATAGATGAGAGAAAACCTGCCCATTTTGTCTTAGCCTGATGAAATAACTTCAGTTTTGTTTTTTTACTTTTTTGTGTCATGTGTGGTTTTTTTCTGCCAGTCCTAGGATGAACTCTGGTCCCTGAGCTTTAGTGCTAAATGCTAGCACTCTACCACTTGGAGACATAGTACTTCCAGCTTTCCTTTTTCTTTTTTCTTTTCTTTCTTTTTTGGTGGAGGGGTGTCAGTTCTAGGGCTTGAACTCAGGGTCTGGGGTCTGAGTACTGTCCCTGAGCTTTTTCTGCTCAAGGCTAGCACTCTACCATTTTTAGCCACATTGCCAAAGGTTTTCTGGTTGTATGGAGATGAGTCTCACAGCCTGCGCTGGCTTCAAACTATGATTCTCAGATCTCAACCTCCCGAGTTTCTAGGATTACAAATGTGAGCCATGGGTGCCTGGCTTACTTCCAGCTCTTTTCCTGGTTATTTAGAGATAAAAGTCTCATGTCCTTGCCTGCCAATGCTGGCTTCAAACATTATCCTTATACCCCATCCACCTTGAGTTAGCTGGAAATACAGGCATGACCCACCAGCATCTGGCTAATTTCACATGTTTATTTTTTTTAATTTCACATTTTGAAAGTATTTCCCACTTTCTGGATGCTTTCTACAAAATTATTCAAGCTGAGCACTGGTGGATCACACCTGTCATCCTAGCTATTCAGGAGGCTGAGATCTGAGGATCACAGTTCAAAGCTAGCCTGGGCAGGAAACTCCGTGAGACTCTTATCTCCAATAAACCACTAGGAAACCAGAAGTGGCACTGTGGCTCAAGCCTTAAGCTGAAGAGCTGAGGGACAGAGCCCAGGCCCAGAGTTCAAGCCCCACGACCAACAACAAAAAAAAATACTCAATAGGCTGTCAGTCCCAGGTCATTCCCTAGTCTGCTCCAACTTCCCTATCCTCTCTTAAATAATGGAAACATGAATTTCCCACTGTTTGTGTGTTTAGCCTTTGATATCATAAAATTAGATAGGTTTTTATATCTTATATCTTCCTATCATCATAAAAAAGCACCAAAGTAGACAATTTTCACATCTGCATCCCTCCCATCCTCACCTGTGGAAACCTATAGAGTTCCAGCAGTGTCCCAATCTGGGCAGATGTTCTTCCTGATATTCCTGTGAGTACTGCTACAGAGTTACTTTCTCTCATGCAGGTATAATTAGGGATCTTGTACTGCCCGGAGAGCCAAGTAAAGGGACTGTCAAGTGTTGACCAAACTCTGAAATCCACATTATAGATATCAAAACCCAGAGTCATGTTAGGTAAAAGATCAGGGTTCTTGTTGATTTCCTCAACAGCAAAAGCCAAGGCCAGAATTAATTGGTAGTTCTTCAAGATAGACCTGCACAGTAGACATCAGAAATCTATCAAGAGTAATTCAAAGTTCATATTCAAGTCAATGCAATGACTTTGATGAGTTAAATGTTTATTTCCTTGCAAAATGAATATACTGAAATAGTACACCCTTCAGGATGGAGTGTAATAGTGTCCACATGAATGCTCAGAAAGGGTGATTTTTCTCTCTTTCATATGCAATACACCAAAGTAGTTGGTTTCTTTAAAGCATGGAATAATCTCTCATGACACCCAAATATCTTTCTGCTTGATCTTGGGGAAACTAGCTCTATAGGTATGTAAACAAATCTTTGTTTTTCAACCACCCAGTTTATGTTACATGGTTACAGGGCAGGTGATGGGCTTGTTTGAGGAAGATCCTACAGCTCTCCCCAGAGATCCACCACCTTCAACAGCTCTTTCTGCACTAGCTACCAGAACAAAAATGCAAATATCAAGGGACAAATCTTAGTTCTGATTTATATAGAAGAGCAAAAATTCAACAGAAAGTAATTTCCCATGTTAACTCATGTCACTAAATTTCAAGAAACTAATCATGAAGAAAGGAGCCTCCAACTTGAGGGAAGGGGAGAGAATTGTCATGAAATGAAGCTTTATGCTGAAATCCCAGTTCCAAATCTCCCATGGTGAACTGCAGTTCTGGGAAATGCATAGATTATCACTACTTGCTTCCCAAAATGCATTCATTGAGATTCTGAAAAGGATGGATACAGGGAGTAAAGAGGATCAAAGTCCACTCACTTGGACTCTCTTTCTCCCTCCCTCTTCTGTCATATACACAAATGACAACATAATACACACTATTTGAAAAAATGAAATGATAGAAGTAGAATGTTAAAACAAATGAGTGGACTTGTCTAATATTTCTTATATGCATGTGCATAATTATCAAAATGGAAGTGCTTCATATCACTGATGTATGCTAACTCAAAATAAATTTTTAAAACTGGGAGAGAGTGAAGGAAAGGATGACATTATCCAAGAAGAAATGTACTCACTACCTTACTTTTGAAATAATGACCCCTCTGCACATCACCTTTTTTTTTAACTTTTCTTTCCAGTTTTGTGTGTGTGTGTGTGCATGTGAAAATACCATATAGAAGGGTTACAATTACACGGGCAAAGTAATGAGTACATTTCTTATCAAGCATTGTTGCCTCCTCCTTTGTTTCCCCTTACTATCCCTTCCTATACCCCCCCTCTGCCCCCGAGCCAAAAGAAAGGGAAAGACTTGGAAAAAATTACACTAACTGAAGTAAGCCAGGCCCAAAGAAACATAGGTCCCATGGTTTCCCTTATTTGCAATAACTAGTATATTTCTGAGACAAGCAGAAATGGTTAGATAAGTTGAGGTTAGGCGAAATGAACTCCAAGATAAGGATTCAAATGTTTTTTCTTTCTTGCTATTGTTTCTAACATATTTATAAGATGATTTCTTTGTTGCTTTGTATGTCCCTCCCCCACAGTATAACCCCTGCTTTCACTGTATTTGATGTTGGTATACTTTGTGGAGGGGAAGGGAAAAAACAAATTGTTTAAATAGGGATACAGGCTGACCCATTGCAACAATGAGATGTACAAGACATTATGTCACAAAACAAATTTTAGCGGGGGGGGGGGGGAGGCAGGGGGTCGCGGGGCAGGAGGATGGGAAGGAGGTATGGAAAAGGATGTAAAAAGGAGGAGGCAACAATGCTTGATAAGAAATATACTCATGGGCTGGGAAGGTAGCTCAGTGGTAGAGCACTTGCCTTGCATGCATGAGGCCCTGGGTTCGATTCCTCAGAACCACATAAGCAATAAAGAAAAAAGCTGGAAGTGGTTCTGTGGTTCAAGTGGTAGAGTGCTAGCCTTGAGCTGAAGAGCTGAGGGACAGTGCCCAGGCCCAGAGTTCAGGCCCCACGACCGGACCCAAAAAAAAAAAAAAGACAGAAATGTACTCATTACCTTGCCCATGTAATTATAACCCCTCTGTATGGTATTTTCACAATTTAAAAAAATTAAAAAAACAAAACCTGCCTCAAAGTTTAACAAATATTAGATTTTTCCTTAACATGCTTTGAGTCCACAGTGTAGTAAAGGTAGATATTAACAGTAAAATTAGGGAAATTTGAATTTACACAAAATTTTAATGAATTATTATTAAGCCACCAAATGGTCAAGTCAAAATTCAAGAACTAGCCGGGCACAAGCTGCTCATACCTATAATCCTAGCTACTCAGGAGGCTGAGATCTGAGGATCATGGTTCAAAGCCAGCCCAGACAGGAACATCTGTGAGACTTTTATCTCCAATAAACCATTCAGAAAACCAGAAATGGCGCTGTGGCTCAAAAGGTAGAGCACTCTCCTTGAGCGGAAGAGGTGTGGGACAGCACCCAGCCCCAGAGTTCAAGCTCCACAACCGACAAAAAAAAAAGTGGGGGAGTCCTTGTCTTAGGCTATGAAAAAAGGAGAGAAGACTGAAGTGAGTACAATGAAAACAGAAACACAAAAGATCATTCAAGATCTTTACAGAAAATGACGTGTCAGTAAATTTTGTAGCATGGTTTAAGTGGCATGCAACACCTTCCAAAGCTAAACTAGGAAGACACACACACACACACACACACACACACACACACACACACACAACCTTGAAAATAAACCTTGCTTGCACTAGCTTGGAATTACAACTGAAAAACATTAGTGTGATGTCTGTGGGTGTAGATCTGAGTCTAAATTTTAACCCTCTGAAATCTAATGCAGTGGTCTATTTATGACAAAGACATCCTAGAGGACATATTAGTATGTTTAAACAGTACCATCCATACATTTTACTTCCTGATTACCAACAACAATGCTTCATATTTTTAAGGAGGTAAGACACATACAGATACTTCTGCAATAAGATTCAATGTGTCTATTTAAGAGCAGTAATAAAATTATATTAAAATGACTTAATATAATTAGGAATGTCAGAGAAAGGAAAATCAAGTAAAAGTAGAAAAATAGTGGAGTTTAAGAAAAACAAGTAAGATATGGAGCTAACTCAGATGCCCCTCAGTAGATGAATGCATCAAGAAAATGTGGTATATATATATATATACAATGGGATTCTATGCTTCCATCAGAAAGAATGACACCACCACATTTTTTAGGAAATGGAAAGACCCAAAGAAACATAGGTCCCATGGTTTCCCTCATTTGCAATAATTAGTATATGCCTAGGATAATTTTATTAGATAGCAGAAAAGCTCAAAAGCTATGTACAAATATAAGATGATGCTAAGTGAAATGAACACCAAGATATGGACATAAGAGGCCTTTCTTTGTTGTTGTTGTTTTTAATGTATTACTTGATTTTTTTGTTTCTTTTGTATGTTCTTCCCCCTATGGTATATCACCTGTTGTCACTGTACTTGATTTTGGTACCCTGCATCTTCTATATACATTTGTCTAATTTAGGTAGGGGAAGGGGAATAACAAAACGCTGAAACAAGGGCATAGGATGACCCATTGCAACAATAATACCCACAAGATAGTATATTGGAAATGCACTTTGCAACTTTGGAGAGGAGTGGAGTGAGGAAGGTGGGGGAGGGAAGGGATAGTGGGAGAACAAGGGAGGGGGTAACAGTGCTTGACAAGAAATGTACTCATTGCCACACTCATGTAACTGTAACCCCTCTGTACAGCATCTTCACAATAAAATAAATTTAAGAAAAAAAAAGAAAAACAAGTATTTAGGAGTGATAGGAAAAAGCAGAGTTTGGATCCTTCAATGGTTCAGATCTCTACAATAATGGGGAAGACAGTAATTGCTTCGCCCACCATCTCTGTCCCCATGTGTGGCAAGCTACCTCAGGCTACCGTTGTCACACGAGTACTCAAAAACAGATGAAAGAAATTCACAGAGGCCAAGAATTCAATGTATGTCTTATAAAATTAAGAAGACTGAGGGAAAGGGTGACTAGGGTAGGGATGAATGAGATGATGAAAAGAGTGATATTGATGAGGAGATATTGTATTCATAAATTGTTATATGACAACTCCTTTAGCAATGGCATTTCTCTTGCAATAGGAATCACATCAGATGCTATAATTTCTTGAAATTCCTCCTTAGCATTTTAGCAGACCAGAACCTCAGGGTGTGTATGTGTACCAATAAGGAAAACAAATCTAGGCCAGATATGCCTATCAGCTCTGGGCCATGCAATAAACCAGACATATAATGAAATAGAGCTTAGTCTGAACGACTAACTGCATCTCTACAGTAAGATATTTTTTAAAGTCAACAAAATATATGTCGCTTCATACTTACTGAAGAAAACTCCTCCGACCACTCTCCTATGGATTAGGAAAGGTGTCTGCAGCCTCAAAGTACAGAACTCATGCCACTGACTTGGGTTGTAAATAATAACATCACTTCATCAGCTGAAAAGACAGCTGGGATGGGAGAGATAAAAGGATTCAAAGACAAGTAGAGTGGTTATACCCCTGGAAAGGAGAAGCTTCATGGAAGGAAAACAGTTCTCTCCTATTAGCAACAGAAAAAATCTCTCAAAAGTAGGTGAGTGGACTGGTTCCGGGAAGATGGCGGAGGAGAAGCTGGAAGCTAAACAAGCTCTCGCATAGAAAGCAGTTTTAGTGCTCCAGTGTACAGTCCTAGACCAGAGAATCACACTAAGTGTCCCATTGCAGTAGAGAGTTTGGCCAGAGAGGGAAAATCTAGGCAAGGAGACAGATCTGAGCACTTGCCAGGAGTCATGGCTGTGGCTGTGGCTGTGGCAGTGGCAGAGGCAGCTGTAGCCGCCATACCTACAACACAGAGAGTCCGGGACAAAGGTAGATGCAGCGGGCGAGCAGATTCTACTCAACACCAGAAAGAACTGACAAGGAGCACATATCTTCATCCTATAGATTGCAGGCCAGGGACAACCCAGGAACCAACACTCCAGTGTGAGAAGAACCCTAACACCCTCACTCCTTCTCAGGGAGCAGAGGAGAGAAGGCCACCCCTCACCCCTCCCACTACTGGAGATCTCCATCTTTGATACTGATAAAGGCCCAGCAGCTAGCTCCAACTCAGGCCTTGGAAGAAAACAAAAGAGTCATTTAGCAGGTCACAGGAACCTGACCTGCCAGGCTCAGCTCCACCCAGGGGAAAGTCATCCAGCTCAGGCAGAGAAAACTCTGCCCCTGGAGGAATGGCTTTCTTCATTGGGTTAACAGAGCCAGAGGCTTCCCCTCCCTACAGCAGCCTAGAAAATCAACTGAAATTCAGTAAACCTAAACCCTGAGAATGGCTCCAGGCTAGGCTCTGTGACTGTCTCTGGAGCTGCCCACTCAGGGAAAAGCTACTGTTTACTGAAAGGCATACCCAGAACCTATCCTCATCACAGCATCTCCAAACTAGAGGAAACAGCCATCTCCCTCTTTTGTGATACTCAAAACAGATCTCCCTCCCACTGAACTAGCCTGGGAGGAGGATTACAAAATCCTGGGAAAAACAGAGCATTTTACTGCCTGCCTAAACAAACTGACTTAAGTCACCATCCAAGCTACAGGAAAATCAAACACCACAAGCAGACCAGAGACTCCACCAAGAGACTGGTTATGGACACAAGGGAGATACAGGAGCTTCCCATCCAACACTCTCCCTCTCCCCCCGCCGCCAAAAAAAATTTAAAGAACTCTTTTTTTGGTACCTTTTTTTTATTTTTAATTTTTTTAAAAAATTGTTTACTATTAATCGTTTTTTTTCCTTCCATTTATAATTTTTATTTTAGGTGTATATGTGTGTGGGTGCTTTTTTATCTCTACTGACCTTTTGGTCCTTTTTTTCTTCTTCTTTCTCATTCTTTTACTTTTTCTTCTCTATCGTTCTTTTCTGCGCGACTTAA